TTCCCTCCTTCCTCAGTGTCTGAGGTGGGGAAGAGTTTTCAGAATCCAGTCCCACAATTCTTCTAGCTACTGGACTTTGACCAAAGTATCTAAACAGTCCCATTTGGTTTTCCCACCAAGAGAAAGGACATGCTACCACTTACCTCATAGAATTGTGTGAAAATAAAATGCTTACAAAACGTGATGCCAGGCACACAGTTAATATAGTGTCTTTCCCCTTGCTTCCTACCTCTGCACCTGAAATCTCATCCAAGGACTGCTGCAATTCCAGAGTGTGCTCCAAAAGCAAGGTGAAAAACTGAGAGACACCAGAAATTAAAGAAAAGATATAGGAAGGGAAAAAGTATGCACAGCATGTGGCCATCTTGGTTTCAGAATGGTGCTGGCTATGGAAATCCACATGAGCAAATGAATGGCAAACATTGTGAGCTCATCTGTTCTCTCTCCAGATGAATTGCTACCACCTTAAGGAGAATTTAGTGGGAGAAGAGGATAAAAAAGAGGAGGTGCCACCGTCCTAACCCATTACATTCCAAAATGGCTTTATGCACACACACAAAAATGAGAGTAGTCCTCAAAGCATCACTTTCCAACCCCACCATTTAGAAAGGAAAAAAAATCATAGCAACTGAGACTACAGTAAAGATGTGCGTGACCTTCAGTGAGAAGGCAAGGGCACATGTTACAGCCTTGGTCCTTCACTCGGACTAACCCTTCTACCTCCAGACCCTGACCCTCATGCAGCTCTAGGTATCAGGTCTCACTTTCTCTTGCCCGATCTTTCTGTCAACTCCATCTTTCAGTCTGGTGCCCCATCTTCTACCCAAGCCATTTTCATTGTCTCTGATGCCAGTGACAGAATAATTTTCAGGGACTCCAGTGGTCCTTATCCATGCTCTCTGATTTCCTAACCTAAAGTGTCTGTTTGCACGGTACCATTCCGACATTTTCCACATATTTTCTTTTTATCTTGAAAATGATGTAAATTTGGTAGGATGAAAACAATTTATATCCTACAAGCTGTCTACTGAGCTTCATATCACTTAAGTGATCTGATTGCTTAAATTTCCAAAGCTCATTAGAATGGAGATTAAAATTTGGGACTTATAATTCTTAATTCAGTGTCTTATGATGTAAAATTGTACACAGAAAACATGGGTTTAAAAACATGTATTTCTGGGAAATTGCATCCCAGCCCCACTGCTCATGGAGAACTGTGATAGTCTGGATTGGTTACTTAACATCTCTGAGCTAAAATGTGAAAATCCAAGAAAGGTTTCAATCAACAGAGAATGCTTCTACAAAGAAATGGAAATGCATCTAGCTTTAGTTTATGAGTTTGTCATGAAGTTTCAGATAGGTGTCCCAAACCCAGGATGTCAGGAAGAACAAAAACAAGACTAAATAAAATAGGTTCTTTATTCTCAGGTGAGGAACAGCCAAAGAGCACCTCGTACATGTTTAAACATTCCCCATTACTATTTTCAATAGTCTGTTAGTAGGGCTTCTCCGTTCTCCAATAGCTAAAGTTTTTTAACTAAATGTGCCTCTTTTGGCCAAGGCAGGCTTCCATACTTTAATGAATCTCAACTTCCTGGATGAGACAAGGCGGAGATTCTAGCACCATTGTTCAGAGCACCTTCCCAGGTGTTTTTTTGTTTGTTTGTTTTGTTTTGTTTTTCTCTTGAGTTTTCTTCTTCAGTTTTATGTGGGACACAATACGGTACAGGTTACATATTATCTCATTTAACCCTCAACAACCCAATAATGGATGTATTATTTTTCTCAAGGTATAACCAAGGAAACCGAGGTTGATGGCAGCAAGCCGGAGAGTGGTGCAGAGTCCCACATCCGGGATGTGGTGGTTGAAACCAGCTCTGACTCTAATTTCTGAGCTCCTAGCAGTTCTGCCATAGCAGAAAGTGCATTTGCGTCATTGAAAAAGCAGAACACTAATTAATGTTTTGTTAATTAGCATATGCAAAACTGACCCGTATACTATCTAACCACATGCTGGAGTGCAGAGCTACTTTATCAGAAGTCTTTATCACAGTAGCACCTTTCAAGCATCCAAAACTCCTCTAATACAGGGACTTAGCACTTACATTCTAAGAAGCCAAAAGGAAATTACTAAACAGTATGGCAATTACTTATCTCCTAGAAGGGTGAGGAAAATGGAAGGCTTCTCTATCACTCCACAGTCAGCTTGAAAATCTTAAACACAGACGCCATATGCCATCATTTCCATTTTCACATCCTTTGTCCTGAGGACCCACTATCGATTCATAGTTATCAAGTCATGTGTCCCCATTTTCCATGTACAATATGCGGTCGTGGTATACTTCTATTCAAAAACAAACAAATGTGGCCTCAGATACTGAGGCCAAAACTTCTCTCCCTATGACTGGGGAGCTCTTTGCTTGCATTCTTGCAGATCCCCTGAGCCTATGAACATTCCTCATCATAGCTTCTGGGAATTGCTCTATCTTCTTAGTGACTCTGGCCCTGAGACAGCCACCTCTGCAGCCACTATCAAATCCCCAGTGACCGAGCCTCCAACATTCTGGCTACTAAGACTTCTACTTCTTCCTTCTTCCTGCCTTTGGGTCAAAACCCATTCTGAGATTATTTAGATTATTTTAGGACATTTTCTGAACTATCACTGTCCACCTCCTTTTACTAATGGAGAGACAAATAGGTAAGATGGGGTTTGCAGTAGCCATGGAGACAGGAAAAAGAGACGTGACCAGAGTGGCAATCTCGTGGTGACCCAGAAGATCCACTGTACCAGGTCAATTCTGCCAGTCACCAGTAGGTTCTTTGTGGAACTACAGGGCACTCATTTTTGTTAATTGTCTCTTGTAATGAGCCGCCTGTGTGTCTGACATTGAATCAAGTGATGAACTACTTCCTGTCAGATAACATCTCCCACAATGCCATAGAAAAGAGAAAAAAGAGCAGGTTAGAAGGTTTATGAACTCTTCCCTTGTCTGCTCCCTTTCTTGTGGGGCAATAGAGCACACAGTTGGCCAGCAAGATTAGAGTGTGGCTGCCACTTCTTATAAATCACTTTGGATGTGCTATTTAATCTCTCGGGCTTTGGTTTCCCCATCTGTAAGAGAGATTAAACAATGCCACTTAGCTCAGCAATATTAAATAAAATAATGCATGAAAACACTGACAACCTAGCCTATGGTAAATGCGCTCAGAGCACCCAGGGTTCACCAGGGAGTATGAGAACCCAATCTCCACCTGGGCTGCCTCTCAGCTCATAGTTTTGTATTTGCACTGAGAATCTGGAAGACATATCGGAAGGGTGCACCCCATCGCCTTGTTCATAACCCCCCTCCCTACTTGGAGAAAATAACATAGATTTTCAATAACTCAAATAATCAACAACAAAAATCATTTTTATCTGTTATGCTCACAAAAAGAACATGCACTTATTTATGATTTTAAAATGTGGCTTTTAACTGTACCAAGAGTCTTTCCATGCAATATCGAAACCTTATAACACCATGCATAAAACAAAATATAATTTAGTAAGGAAAGCAGTATTTTTAAATGTCTAACCAAAGCAAACAGTGGGTTTTGCCACAGTTGGACCTTTTTTGTTCCATTTTCATTCACTCCACTGCCTAGCATGGGATACACATACCAGCGTGTTTTCTGACATTTGTATCTGTGGCCTTGGAAATGCAGGAGTAATTTTCTCCTGTGATACTGAAGTGTCTCAGCTTACTTCTTTCAACCTGACCTTTCTTGATAGAAGTAAAGGAAGCTGAAGGAGAAGTTAGTTATCCTTTCTGCCACCAACAGATGATGATAGTGATCACATGAGTTAATTTCTGCTAAACCCCTGTGCTGTGGTGGTTCTCAACTGGTCAAGAAGTGTGCTTGTGGTGGCTGTGTGGGAAGAGGGGTTCAAAGGCATTACAAACATTTTTGACCCCACAGCATGCCTTTTAAGTAGAAAACTCAAGGCAGTTTTGGAAGTGATAACAAATTTAAGATGACAATGGAGATAGAGATGATTCTAAAAATCCAATGTGATAAAAAATGACAAAGGTGGCACTTATTGTGGTCAAGTGACACAAATGAGACACAGTCTGAGACACAAATGGCTGCAAAGAACAGGTCTGAGAAGTATAGAACCTAAACAATGACCACTAATCAACAAAGCAAGGAGAAATAACTGAAAACTAAAAGTGACTTTAAAATCCCAAATCAAAACATGTCTACAATGAAAGACTAAGCACCGATGTCAAATGAGAATTGTCTGTCATTAGACAATTAATCTAACATGAATGCTGGAAATGTTTGAGGCTTTAAAGCAATGGATCTCAGCTTTTTAACTGTGCATTAGAATCACTTGAGAAGCTCCTCAGGTAGATGACCTGGCTGATAACCAGATCCTCTGGGGGTGAGACAGAAATCAGTGCTGAGAGCTCTCCAGTGACTCTAATGTATAACCAATATTAAAACCACTGTCTTCAAATCTATCATGGAGAAAACAGAGTTGTTATGATTCTGGGGATTAAAGTCCATGTGAATGTGCAGACCCTGGAATTCAAGTGGATACCTTCCGTTCCTATGACATTTCGGTTTTATGGAAAGAAATTGTCTCAGGGAAATTTTCTTTTTCAATTCTTGAAACCAATATGGAGAACATATATTATCATGGAAGAATAAAGATGCCTTAGAGCATTGAAGGACCTTTTCATATACCTATTTGGAAACAAACCAAAAAAAAAAAAAAAAATCTACCAGGGCTCTAAGCTTCTACATCTCTTAGTTATTTGAGTAAGCCCATTGTAAATGGGCACATAAACCTGTTCTAAACTCTAGAAGCTTCTACATACCAGCAACCTTTTCCCACTTTCATCTGCAAATAATTTGACTAGTTCCTGTCTGCTCACTCACTCGATGTACCCTGATGAACTTCCATCTCTAACCTTAAAAGCATTACATTATTTGCTCCTTAGAGCAATCCTTTTTACCTTGTCAGCCATTATCATAGATGAGCCCCCGTGGATGCCCAGGATAGGGGTGAGAGTCTGAGCGGAAATGAAATCGAGGATCTGGGCGATGGCTTCCTGATCTGTGTCATCAGCAAACACCACCCCCTGGATCTTCCGGTCAGACATGAGATCACAGATACGGGTGATGATGCTCTTTGGGTCGGTTTCATTCATGGCTACCAGCTCCACCCGGGGCACTACTGAGAGATGGTGGAAGTCATCTTTCTCGTGGGCGTCTTTTATGGCCACCTCGTCTGAAGTGCCCACAAGAATAACAGCGATACCAATGCTGGGGGGGCTCTTCTGAGAACGAGCCCTGCTGCCCGATACTGCCAGGACGGCCAACACCAACCAGAACTTGGGAGAACAGCACTCTGCTCTGGGCTTCATCTTCAACTCGTCGACTCCCTGAAAACGCAAAGAGAGGATGGTTAAAATTTGACCCAGGCTACATAACAGGTCTTTGAAGAGTCCGAATGGTGGGGAGTTAGGGGTCTTATTTCCTTTTACTGATCATGAGCTCCAACTTCTTTCTACTAGCCCAGTTTCTTAACTCTGGTGTCTTCTCAGTAGAATGAGAGAAAAAGAAACTTTCAAAAACCTCAGAAATCTTTGAGCAAGACAAGAAAAGATGCTACTGCAGTAGCCATCTGTAGCAAATAGAGACAAGCCAGAAGAGATTCGGAGTGGAGCAGGTGGTCAGACCAAGTGCACACACACTGGAAACTGCAGAAGGGATCTGCTGTTGCCGGGGACCCCTGGCACTCTGGTTACAGCCCACCCTCAGCTGTTCTTGGCAGAAGCCATGCCAAGTGAGCATTGAAAGGGGCTCAGAAAAGACTGGCCACAAACACAAATCATGGCCTGGATAAAGAGAATCCAGCAAGCTCTAGGCACAGGCACCCACATTCTTTTTGCCTGGGTTTCATGTTTGCCCCTTTTAGGGATCTGTCTCTTAACATTAATTCAGAGAACAAGCAATTCATGGGCAGTAACTTTAACTGATCCTTACAATAACCCAGTAGAGAAAAAAAAATTAAGACAAGTATTAGTATCTCCATTTTATAAATGTTGACACCAAGACCCAAGGAAGTTAAGTAACCTGTGCAAGACTGTGAACCCAGAAAGTCAATCTCTCTCTGTTAAAGAGTCTGTTACTTTTCTTTGTGTACATGTGTTTCTGTATGACTGTATGCCACATGCCACATGCCACATGCCACATGAATGCAGGTGGCTGCAGAGGCCTAAAGGGGGCATGAGATCCCCTGGAACTAGAGTTATAGGTAGTTGTTGACTGTCTGGTGTGGGTGCTGGGAACCAGGCTCGAATCTTCTGCAAGGGCATCAAGGGCTACTAACAGCTGAGCCATCTCTCCAACCCCAAATGAAGCAATCTTGAACCCAATCTTCTGATTTTTGTATTCTAATTTGTATCCTATCTCACTATACACTGCTTTTTCACATCATTAATTACCATATTTCAAGGAGCAGTATTACTCTGATCTGTTTATGCATCAACTATGGTAACAAGCAAATCCTACTCATAGTTAAATCATCCTAGAGCCACCATCGAAGACAGTTGTATTTTTAAATATTTTATGTATATTAGTGTATTGCCTGCATGCATGTAAGTGCATCCATGCCATGCAATCCCTGTAGAGGTCAGAAGAGGGCATCGAATCCCTTGGAACTGGAGTTATGGACAGTTGTTAGCCACCATGTGGGTGCTGGGCATTGAAACCCAGGCCTTCTGCAAGAGCAGCCAGTGCTCCAAACTGCTGAGCTCTCTCTCTAGCCCATCTATTTTATTTCTAATGGCATCCTGTAGCAGTAACTTACTGAAATGACAGACTAAGACTACATACATTTGCATATAACTCACCACCTTTTTCCTATAAACAACCCCTCCCTTTTAGTTTCCACATGGGCTCCTAAACCTTACACAGGCAGCAGACTAAGGACACAGAATATAAGCTTCAGTGTTTGTCTTTGTTTCTCATCACTTATCAGAGCTCCTCTTATTTTGTTAGAATGGGTCCAACCTATGTATTACATGGTCCTATATTATGCATTTTTATACAATGTGCACTGGTAGGCATTTTGCACATATGCAGCATCTCTGCTCCCCATAGATTCTCTATAAATTAGACGTTTTATTCCCATTTCTCAGGTTGAGAAACTGAAGCACAAAACAGTTACATAATCCTCCAAAGTCAATGGTGCTATGATACCAGAATACCGACAGGTTAATATGGCATTGTTCTCACCAAGAGAAATAACCTACAAGCTGTACCCAAATCTAGAAGCAGAGATTCTCATCTTTCTATCGGACATAAAAATGTGGTTTAATCTCTCCTGCTTATTTGACAAAAAGAGGGAAATAACAGGGACCTAAAAATTGGAGAGTTGGCTAGTAAAAAGAAAATAACTGATAATGAAGGAATTGAACAAAGAAAGATCAGAAAGTATTCAAGCTCATTCGACTGACCACAAAGGGCATTAGTGAGTCAGGAGTGTGATATTGGGGACATTCTGTGGCTGAGGAAGCACAAAATCCAATCCAGTTCTTGGCAGGAAACCTCTGGAACCCTTGCTGTTGTAGTCATCCTTCAACACTGCCAAGGAGGAGACCTGTATTGATGGCCTTGCTTCTCTATAATACTGCGAGTAGCTCAGTGGTTCCCACCTGGGCAAAGTACACTCCTGACAGCTTTCTGGTCTCCCTGTTTCTGTGGAAACAAGGAATGACTCCATGGGCCCTCAAAGCCCAGGATGATGAGCTATAGATGGTCTACTAGGGCCTGAGTACCTCTTTCCAGAGTTTAAGGAAAAACAAAAAGATATAGAGACCTGAGCATCACTGAACATTTAATGAAGGATACTTGGATTTACTGTGTCTAAGAACTGAGGACAAAATACAAATAAAATGTCTGTTCAATTCCAAGGGTTGCTTCTCAAAAAGAACCCAAAGATTTAGAATTTGGCAAAACTAACAGTTCACTTGATTCCAGCGGGATTCTAATGCTACAGTTACAAGTCCTTAAATTAGATTCCTTTATGCTTAAAAGTGGTCTTCTCTGCCATGACAGTTTATTAACTTTAATGCACTCTGTGCTCTCCCACTTTAAGGCTTTATTTGCGCTCTTCAAAATATCTCTTGTGTGCCTCTATTTCTTCTCACACAATATATTATATTGTGTTATGCAATGGCTACTGGTGACATTCAAAGAATAGGATCTGGTTTTACCGAGCATCTCTTTTATACTCAGGATAGAGCAAAGCATTTTACAAAGCAATACATTATGGGAGTTATCAGTAACAGAGGTATTGGGAGACAGACAAAGAGGCTACTTTGAATACAAACTCAATTTCAGACAGTAGAAGGGGCAGTTGAGAGAACGCATACAGTCCAAGATAAATGGTGTTGTTCCTTTCTGCAGACAGACCACAACTACTCTGGATGCACCTGGTCTTTGCACTCCTCTCCTGTGCTTCACCCTCCCCAGGAGAACTGGCAGTGCTCCCTTTGTCTTTTCACTAAAGCCTGTGCACGTCCACCTAATACTTGTAATAGCTTTATGTGTGTATAACTGCCTATCTTAACCAATGGATAACTTTCTTATAAAGAGAGACATTTTCAGTCCAGCAATCATTTATTGAGCTCTGACTATCTTGGAGACAATGTTTGTCCCCCATTTCTATCTTTTCCCCAGCTGGTAGGGATCAAACCCAGGGCCTCGCACATGGTAGTCAAGTGTTCCACTGCCGAGCTATGTCCCAACCGCACACATTATTTTTGGTGCTAAGGATGCCACAAACACAGGCTATATTCTTCAGGACCACTGTGTAAGATAAAGTACAGAGCCATAAGGAGTATCTTGTCTTTATATTCCTGGGACACAGCGCTGCCTCATGATCAATAAACAGGAAAAGCTCAAGTTACAGCCATATTGGTTTTCTACTATTAGGTAAGACCATATATAGAACTGTGATATAGGATCATTTTGTATTTCAAATAGTTCAACCTACTGTGTGCCAGATGCTACAATTGGCATATTTTCATGCATTTGATTCTTATAGAGATATCATAAGTCATAATTCTCCATCTATTACAAATGAGAAAAGTGATCTGAGAGGTTAACCACACAGCTAAGATCATATAGCCAAGGATAGTATTAAATTTCATATCCACATTTGACCAACTCATTCTGGGAGTACCTTTTAGTACAGGTGAGATAAAATGAATGAATGGATGGATGGATATTACTAACGTGGGATTTAAACGAGTCTCACATTAATGAAGTGCATTAGGATGAGAAAGCCACTTAATTGCTGTCATCTGTTTTATCATTGGTAAAACCAGAATGATATACCTAACCTACATACCTAGAAGATTTTGTGAAGATCAAATGATAATGTGTATATGGAAGTGTCTTTGATGAACATAAAATATTCCACAGATGCAAAGGATGTTACATTTAAGCTCTCAGAAGCTGTTCAAGGAGCCTAGCTATTTATGACAGCACAAAGTGAGCAAGTGGGAGGTGGGGGTGAGTGAATGTCAGACAGAGGCTGAGGGGAATGTTAAGAGGAACTGCACAGGGGGCAAGAGACATCAGTTCTCTCCAGATAGAACTTCCTGAAAAAGATGTCACATAATGTCCTCAGAGTAACAGCAGACTCTACTGACAGCTCCCCAATCATGTAGCTGAATTTAGGATCCATTTAGGCCAAGGCCAGTACTGAGGATCAGGATAAAGAGATGCAAACAGAATCAGCAAGAAGGCAACAGGATACCCTCTGCCTCTGCAGCACACCGCCTGGATGACCCAACCAGAAGGCTTCAGCTGTGCATCTTCAGGCTTTAACCAGCAGGATGGCTATAACAGGAAATAGTCTACACGTCCACAGCTGACTTTAAGGAACATGCATCCAGTTGAGATGGGCCAACTCTTTCCTTAGAGAAAACTGAGTCCTGAGTTAACTCCAACAAGAAGCAAGAAATGCAATTTCATGAAAAAATCTGAAGTCCCACACCACATTCAGAATGTTACCTAGAGTGACTCAATTAGGAGACTGAGATTGGAATACCACAGGCAAAAAAAAACTTGTGATTGAAGGTGTGAGATTTAGCCAGACATGGTGGCAAGCTTGTAATCCCAGTACCTAGGAGTGTGAGGCAGAAAGAGTACAGGTTTGAGTCCAGCTTGGCCTACACAGTGAGACTTTGTCTAGTAAAAATAGTACCAGACCCACACTTCAGGGGCCCAGTTTCCCAAGCTACCAATAGAGAGAGACAGCAACAACACATAAACTTTACAATATGCCACACGAGAGAGCTCGGAAAGCAAGGCATTCAGTACAGTCGAAGTCAAGTGAAATGTGTAACATGTTGAGTGTAATCTTTTT